CGAAAAACACGTAACACACAAATCACTCGGAGCCAACAGGGCACACACACACACACACACATTCACTACACCACACACACACACGACACACATCACACACAAGAGGTATCTTATATATATATGTAATAATATAAATGATATATATATATCTGATATATTATAATAACGTATTATTATACATATTACATGTCATGAACACCACACACATGCATATTATAATATTATTATATATATTCTATCATAATAAATATATATTATATATTATGTATATATATATATTATATATCATTGTATATATTAATTTACATATTATGTATTATATATATGTATATATACATGTGTATATATTTATTATCATTATATATGTATTATATAATATATATATAATAATATATATATATAATATATATACTATATATATATAATATGATTATATATTATATATATATGTGTGTGTGTGTATTTATTATTGTATTGTATGTGTGTGTGTGTGTTATATTATATATATATATATATATATATATATATATATATAATATATATATTATATAATATTATACATACGTATATACATGTATATATGTGTGTGTATATATTATATATATATTATATATATATATATATATATATATAATATAGTATAATATATATACTATATATATAAATATATTATATATATATATATATATATATTATATATATATATATATATATATATATATATATATGTATATGTATATATATATATATATTATATATATATAATATATATATATATATATATATATATATATATATATATATATGTATATATGTGTGTGTATATATATATATATATATATATATATTATATATATACGTGTATATATATTATATGTATATACATGTGTGTGTGTTGTATATATGTGTGTGTTTTGTGCGAGTGTGTGTGCGCACAAATATATACACATTTAGGGGGAGACAATATCTCGGTGCTGGTCTTTGACCATTAATTTGCAGTAAAACCTTTTAGCTGATATTCACATAGACATATTGGGTGTGATGCATTCATAATGAATAAATGCGATAATAAAGTTAATTATATTGAATAAAAGTTATAAAATGCAATCGCACGGGAAACATCTTATTACAATATAGCTCATGGGTTCCTTGTTACTGATAAATCGGTATTAAATAAATGGTAAAATAAAATCCCTACTGTGTTAGAGTGAGAGACCGGAAAGGGACTTCATGAAAATACGACATTGAGAGACAAAGAAAAGGGGGAAGAGGTTTGAAAATATCACTAATATTTTGAACATATACAAACCAATATAAGGGATATTTCAATATGAAAATGATAGAGAGGTTCAGAAGATTAATTTCTAGTCTGTTACTTTTAGATTGTGAATCTTCACTGTCTCAGTTGTGAATACGATTTTCCGATAATCATCGTAAGCAGTTATGGCAGTTAAAATAATACTGATTTTACTTTACAGAGAGTGTGCCAATATTAGATGGAAAGACTGCATTAAAAATACGCCTAAATAAAGGTTACACTTGAATAATAGTTTTTTGTTTTTTGTTACTTTAAATGAAAAATGGAAAAGCTCCTTCTGTCTTTAGTAAAAATTATATTAAAATATATAATATATATATATATATACATATATATATATATATATATATATATATATATATATATATATATATATATATATATATATATATATATATATATATTTACTAGCAAGTATAGAAACATAGACAAATAAATAAACAGATAGATGAAAATATAAGAATAGAAAAAAATGCCGACGAATGGACAAGAGACAGAGGGACAGATAAAGACTAGGAGACCGACAAGCTCTCATCCATAGAGAATGACGTAGAACGCTAAGCAGACAGAAATGTACAGTCAGCATACAGTCAGACAGATAGACAGATGAACACGTTGATTAATAGACAGATGTTTATATAAAGTTATGGATACAGGTACATATAGAGATACAAGGGAAAGTACAGACTTGACGGTGTGATCTCAATGCAATCTATCCCTTTTTATTTCTACATTAAGCTAAAACGTAAAGGAAGGAAAACGGTAAAAAAATATCTTATTTGGTAAAGTTTTATTCACAACTTCTCTATGTCAAAGAAAAGTGTGTATCGCCAAGTTAAACAAACTTTATAGGCCGAAAACATGCACATACATATTCAAGAATGTAACAAGTTTTAAAATTGATTCCTGTTTGAAAGAGTGAATGTATTTTGGGCAAGTCCGTAATACATTTAAAGAACACTGTCTTCAGTTCACTCCCTTTCATGAAGAAGGAAGAACATCAGGCAAAAAGAACACATAAATAATGCTTCGACTTAAAACCCTTTAGAGCTATACTGTAACTTCGCTTCCTATACTGTATACTGAGTTTTTTTTTTAAGTTAGAATGAGGGTAGCAAGATATGAATGCCTTGAATATATACCTCTATGAACATCCGTGAAAACATAGTGAACAAAGTAAGCGACCCACCTAGGACATACCTTTACCGAACTCGTTAACAAAGCCAAGACGGAGAACATAAACAAACATAACATAAAATAATGAAAACACCACAAGTCCCCTGGCAAATTATAGCAAAAGGAATACTGTGTTCGACGATTTACGTGTAAGTTATGCTGTCAGATCATAACTGAAAGAAACTGTTTTTATTTATCGTCATTACTGCAATCACACCACGATCTCCCGCTAATATGTAAATACCATGTCTTATTAAGCAATCTGATAAATAATCAAATCTGATTATATATATATATATATATATATATATATATATATATATATATACATATATATATATAATATATATATATATATATATATATATATATATATATATATATATATTCATAAACGCACAAGGCATATACACACCTAGGTGTGTGTATGTATGTGTGTGTATGTGTATGTGTGTGTTTCTGTAAAATATATGTATACATACATACATATATATATATACATATATATATATATATATATATATATATATATATATATATATATATATATTATATATATATATATATATATATATATATATATATATATATATATATATATATATATATATATATATACATACATACATGCATACATATATATACACATATACATTTATATATACTTCTATATAAATACATACACGCACGTATGTATGTGTGTCTGTATATTTGTATGGACACATGGGTGCATGTATGCATGCAAGCATACATGCAAGTATATATACACATGTGAGTGTGTGAGCGTGTGTGTGTAGAAACACAGGCACGTGCATATTCATGAACATATACACATGCTGTAAATTACATACAAACACACACACACACACACACACACACACACACACACACACACACACACACACACACACACACACACACTATATACACATTCACACACAAACCTACACAACACGATTCACAACGCGAAACCTGCTGTGCTCAAGCGTGGGTTTAACGACAAGCTTTCTAACGCCCAAAGACAAATTACGCCGCCCACAAGTACGGTGTTCTGAACTCTTGTGATCAAAGAAATGATTCACTTAGCTTTCACTACAAGCTATCACGGGTGTGCACTTTGTGAGCAGGCCGTGAGCCGGCTTGTGAAGGCAATACACCGACTGACATGTTGTACCTACCTTATACTTCCACCGATCCCTTTCTTACGATAACTGTTTGATTATCATGATCATATACTCATTAAGGCTATTTCCCCTCCTTAAATATCACCATGTTTGTCTTCGGTCTGAACCCTGCACACGAATCTGTTTTTATCAGATGATTCCAGATATGCTTTGGCCAAGGCCCACGGCGGTCAGGTCAGGTCAGGATGGGGAAGGTTAGGTCAGGTTCATAAGAGTTGGGTTACGCAGATTTACAACAGGATATCGACTCCATCAACATCGGGCTATTTATCAAATCAGACCCGGGTATGTAGAGTGCATAAACAGTAATTTTGTTTATGGTACAAAATTTTAAAATCTTTCCCAATTAACTGATTTAAAATGTTAATGAACGACACGATGGTGTGAACATGAATTAATGTGAAAATAAAAACTGAATAACCTCCTGCTATAATATATAACGCAACATTTTCTATGCATCAGAGTTCAACCAACAATCTCGTTTTGTCTTTTTGCTCTTTCATATTTCGACTTCATAAATCAGCCCTTTTAAAGGATGAACTAAAAGAATTTCACGATGCCTAACTAAACAAAAATAATTAAAGATGAATCAAAATAACAGCCACTCTAAGAACACTTATTATGAATTTCTCTCTACTCAAATATCTGAACTAAATCACCCGGAGGACCCCCTAGTTCATCATGAACGATAAAAAAGAAAAGTAAAAGAAAAATGTAAATTGATATACATATACCTACCATATCTTTATGGTAATCTAACATACTGTACAAGACTTACACTGTATTGCTGACGGTGTCCAAGGCGTCTGAAAATACGACATCAACTGGGCAGCGGAAAAGCATGCAGATAACAGAGCCACTACGTGAGAAAGCCTTTATATACAGCATTACCCTACGCCACCAATGGAAATCAAGAACAGCCAAAGACTAGTGTCTAGTTGGTGCATTCACCCCCGTGATGACTCAGGTGTCTATTGTGCGAGACATCATGGCAGGATTCTAAGTTGTCTGACTCTACAAAATACTCTAGATCAGATAGGTGTTATAATTAGCGTTTCTTTGGTTTAAAATCAAGACTAGTCTGACTATCACAGCCTTCGTACTAACTGCGGTAGCCAGTTAGTACTATGAAACTGGTTATTTTTGACACTGTAGACTCAAGAAATCCTTTCGTGATTATGAGATTAACTCCAAAAAGTGAAAAAAAAAGAAAAAAAATGTGTTCTTTGGCAGTCGTCTTTGAAGCCCTTTCTGAGATTTACAAAAGTGCAACAATGGCAACCACGGGAGATGCAAAGGCAGCGTTGCCGGTTGCCATATACCTGTAATCTTCCACATTAGTCTCTGCCATTATAGGGTCCGATACACGGTAGTAAACAACAGCGTCCACCGAGACAGTCACAGAGTCGCGCGACAGTATCTGAAATGCAAGGGGGTGAGGCGAGTCCAGGGGAACGGAGGACAGAGACAGAAGGCAGTCAGAGCGCCGGTGGAGATGTGGGGCCGTGGGCGGGCGAGGGCGGGGGTGCGATAGCAATAATGTGGGGAGGGAGAGGAGAGGGGAAAAGAGAGAGAGAGAGAGAGGAGAGAGAGAGAGAGAGAGAGAGAGAGAGAGAGAGAGAGAGAGAGAGAGAGAGAGAGAGAGAGAGAAGAGAGAGAGAGAGAGGCCTGGTTGCAGATGGGAAGTCGAGAAGGACCCAGAAAGAAGGGAACTAAAGGAGAACCAAAGACCAGAAAAGACGAAAAGAAGAAAACGTGACGAATGTGGTGAGTGAAGAGGTGTAAACACAAAAAGGTGTGATTCTAGACAGAATAAATAAAAAATACAAACAACACTTAGCCAGTTGTAGAGATTGAGAAAAAAACACAACGCGTTATGGAAAAGTATGTAAGTATGTATATATATAAATATATAATATATATATATATATATATATATATATATATATATATATATATATATATATATATATATATATAAAGCCAAGAATAATACACCGACATATAAAAGTAATCTGTTACCAGACATTATTTAAAGAGGTTTCATTAGAGGAAATACATCCTAATGACTAATCAGTCCAAAAAACGCAGAGAACAACGTTCACGATTACGAAAAGGACAGACGATAAAAAGGAACAGTTGGCAACTGAGCCTTTCCAAACCTCCTTCGCAGAGGAAACAATCGAGACGGGGATCACGAGTAGTTTGTTAATTAACTTCATTATAGTAACCAAGCAATGTACTGTGAGTAGCAATGGTAAATGGACATCGATTATTTAGAAAAAAGAGTAATTAGAACAAATACAAGAGTACCATCTACGACAGAAAAACTACGACCGGACTAGTAAAATAAGATAAGAAATAGCAATAGAAACAGGATCGGTAGTGAAACAACTAATTATAATACACTACGACTATTAACAATGATAATAATGAAAGAAAAGGATATGATACAATATAGATAACGAAGACTAGAACAATGAAGTGATGACCATGATAAAAATAACTCTAAAGTAATGTGTTATGTTAAGTAGCAATAACAACACTAGTAAGAGAAATTATAATGATAGTGGCATCAACATCAAAACAATACAAAACTCAAAAGTAATAAAACTAATGCCAATAATGACACGTGATCAAATAATAACAGTAATGATAACACTTAAATTGATGATTGAGATGATGATGATAGCAATGAAAACAATAATAAAAATAATAATTACAAAATTATCATTATTATTAATATTTTTCTATTGTCATCATTCTTACCATAGTAACATTGAAATAAAAATAATGCTTAAGAT